TTTGTTGCACCTCACTGGAAGAAGCCACACACAAAAGCACATATTGCATAATTCCAATCGTATGAAATTTAAATGACAAAACGAATCTGTGGTCCTAGACATCAGAACAGAAGTGGTCTTTGGGAGTAGTAGTGACTACAAAGGGGTACAGGGGCTGGGTGTGGTGGCACATGCCTATAACCCCAGAGACTCCGGAGGCTGAGGCAGGAGGATCACAAGTTCCAGGCCAGCCTGGGCAACTTAATGAGACTGTTTCGAATTAAAAAGAAAAGGGCTGTGGAGGTAGCTCAGTGGTAGAGCACCCCCCAAAAAGAAAGGAGCACAGGGAAGCTTCCTAGGGCAATGGGAAGATTTATTTCTCCATCTGGGTGGCAATTAAAATATATGAAAAGAACACATAGGTCACACATAGCTACATCCCAATAAAAAGGTCTTAGACAAATCGAGGAAGGGGAATCCATCAGCACCTCCTACTGAGAAGCTGCTTGCTGACACCGCCGAGTGCCTCTTTAAACCCGATAGCGGCTGATCAATATCATTTCCTACGGCAATTTATGGAAATGCTAGGCACTCCAAAATTATAAGAAACAGTGCCCCTGATTTATGATGGGGCCACAACCCAATAAGCCATCGCAGGTTGAAAACAGAACAACACCTAACCCATGAACATCACAGCTTAGCAGCAGTAACTGGAGCGCTGTGGTCTCCCCTCCTCTGTGTGTGGCTGACCTGGGACTGAATGTGTATGGCTTCCGAGCCATTATAAACTGGAAAGTCCTAAGTCAGATCATTCTACGTAGGGAACCACCTCCGTTTGAATCGGTTTGTGGGAGCAAGCTTTGCTATTCTGATAAATAGGGAAAATATGTAAGTACAGTAATGTAAACATCATTAAAATAAAACATAGACCTTTATCTAATGAAAACTGCTTTTATTTAAAGTGTCACACATTTTCATCAAGTATTCTCCTAAAATCTGAAATAAAGCTGAATATTAGCTTTTGGAAGTCATGTCAAAACTAGAATACAGAATGAAGAAGAAGCTTTGAAACTTACAAGCAAAGAGAGCAATCAAAAAGGATTAAAATTTGTCTACATAAGAATGAAAAATAGGTTTTACATGTTTAACAATAAAGCCAAAATTAGGTGAAGAATGATAAAATGGGAAAATGTTCAGAGCAAGTTAACTTTTTTCCTTTGCAATGAGCAAGTACTCATGTTTTTGGAGCATTTGTATAATTTGTTAAAACCACTTGAGCATAATAAATTAATAAACAAAATATTATTTGAGAATTTTGAAAATAGAAATAAAAGTAGTAAGATAAGCAAAAAATGTTCACTTACAAATTACCATGAAATACCATTTTCAATTGAGTTAGATTTTCCTTTTTTTTAGTTATAATGGCCAGTTTCAGAGAAGGCAGGTGGGAGATACACATCCAGTGCTCAGGCATCGCCGACGGCAGTGGGAACGGGAACAGGCTGAGCATCCTTCTCTGATAATCGGAAATCCAACATGCTCCAAAATATGAAACCTTTCAGCTCTGATATGATGCCATAAATGGAAAATTCCTACCATGAAATGCTATTCCATGCACAAATTAATTTAAAAATCGTATAGAAGTTCATTTGGGCTGTTACGGTTTGGATGTGAAGTGTCCCCAAAAAACTCAAGTGTGAGCCAATGCAAGAGGGTTCACAGGGGAAATGATGTGGGTGTGAGAGCCTTAAGTAATCAACAAAATAACCCCTAATGGGATTAACCGAGAGGTAACTAGTGGTGGCCGGAGGAGGTGGGTCACTGGGGGCGTGGGTTTGGGGTACATGTTTGTATTTGGCAAGTGGAGATCTCTCTGCTTCCTGATGATCAGTGAGCTGCTTCCCTCCACCACACTCTTCCACCATCATGTCCTTCCTCGCCTTGAGCCCTGAGGAATGGAATGTACTGGTTGGGCCTTTTAGTCACAGCAGGGAAAAAGCTGGCTAAAACAGGCCAGGCATATATGAAATGTAAGTGAAATTTCATGTTTAGTTTTGGGTCCCATCCCCAGGATGTGTATGCATCTGTTCCAAAATCTGATATCTGAAACACTTCTGCTCCCACACGTTTTGGATAAGGGATACTCAACCTGTACTTGCTTTTTAGGAAGCAATCAGGACTAAGCACTCTAATGAGTACTGCAGCTGGCCTGGAACTGGAGCTTGGAGATATGGGGTTGAGAGTGGACTTAAACAAGAATCCTCTCACCTTAAGTCTGTATCTGCATGAGAATTACTTTTCTGTTATTGTTAAAAGGAAAGACAGGGATATTTTCCCTTTGTCTGTGGTATTGCAGGTGGGCTTGGACTGGGTGGGATTCCCCCGAGTTAAGGCACAGCACTAACCCAGGCAGATGGTGTGCTGTGGAGGAGTGGGGGGGTGGATTTGGGCTCCCCCTAAGAGGGGGCTGAAGTCAGATGCTTGAGCACCACTGCCTTGAAGAGCCACCGGTCCCCCACAGGCTCTGCACACGGCCCAGGGAAAGGAGGCTCTGCTCTGGACAGTGGCAGTGGGTGCCACTGATGTCACACTGACGTCAGCAATGGCAAAGGCCAGGTGCAGGTCAGCGTGCATGATGACGGTGCAGTAACTTGTGCTTACTGCCCTAAGGAAAGGGATGTGTCATCCCACTGTAACTGGTGGCTCTATTTCTGGGGGACAGGATGAACCGATGGAGAGACCTTCCTTCTTTCATAATTTTAAAATGGGAATGTTTTATTTCCTATTGTCCTTTCATGAGTGTCTTGATATTTAAAAAGAAAACAAGTCTTAAAGTTCATAACCCTTGACCCCAAAACCTCATCCTAGGAATGAGTTGCTATTTATAAAGAGCTTAGAACAGTGCCTGGCACATTGTAGGTGCCCAAGGAAATGTTTTAAAAATAAATACTCCTGACAGGTGCAGTGGGACATGCCTGTAATCCCAGCTACCTGGGAGGCTGAGGCAGGAGGATTGCAAATTTGAGGCAGCCTTAGCACTTAGAAAGACCCTATCTCCAAAAAAAAAAAAAAAAAAAGGCTGGGGATTGTAGTACCATGGTACAGTGCCCTGGGCTCAATCCCTATCACTGCAAAAATAAATATCCAAGGAAAAAGCTTTAGGATATGGGGAAAAAAAAAAAACCCTTAATAAACAACCTATCAAAGTTCAGAAAGGAGCTGGGTGTGGTGGCATGTGCATGTAGTCCCAGGTACTTGGGACACTGCACAAGGAGGCTCACCACTTGAGCCCAGAAGTTCAAGGCCAGCCTAAACAACACAGGGAAACCTCATCTCAAAAACAAAAAAACCAGAGAGACTCAGAAGCGTTTGAGAGTAAATCAGGTCTATGTCCACACAGGGCGGAATGCCCAGTAAGCTTCTCCTTGGGCCTGATCTCTGCAGGTTCAGACCCACATGGAGAGCAAGGTTCTGCCTTCTGGGGATGATCTGCAATACTCAGAGTCAGACCTTTACAATGAGACTCCACCTATCATGCTGACTAGAATCCTTAGTAACATGATGCTAGCATTTTCTTCCTCTGGGCAAATTTTCATTCATTCATTTACTAAACATTAACTGAGTACCTACTATGTGCTGGGCATCATCCTAGGCACTAGGGATATCAAACAAGGCAATGTTCCTTTCCTGGTTGTTCTCATGAAGCTGATGTTCCAAAGAGGAGAGAAAAATAATAAACAAATAAATATAGAAAGCCAAGTGATTGTGTGTGCTCTGAAGAAAAATAATGCTAGCTAAGAGTAGGAGGTAAGGAATACAAAAAAAGGGTTCTGCTTAGTGGAGAACAGAATGGTAAACAGTTACCAAATAGAAATAAAAATCTACTATAGGGTGTGCTCAGAGAGAGGGGGTATCTAACTCAATGAAGGGGTCCGGAGGCTTCTGGAAGAAGCATGACTTGGTCCAAAAGATAGCCACAGGAAGCAGAGGGCAAGGGCAGCCCAAAAGGAAGATGCAGAGGCATGGCAGGAGTGCAGAGCACAGTGGGTGCTGCGCCACCCAGAAAACAGCGCGTGACGTACAAGCAAGACCAGTGGATTCATTCCAGTTGGAAGGTTCTGGAAGGGCCTTGAAGAAGTGAGATATGAGCACACATGCAAGCACATGTGCCTGTGCACAGAGGCACACCTCCGGTAGTCGTCTAGCATTTCTGCCTGCCTAGTCCTCTGCACTTGCCCACCCTGCGGTCAGGGCAGGGCTGGGCATGCAGCTCAGTGTGCGGGGATGGCCCAGCATGCTCAAGGCATGGGTCTGATCCCCAGCAGCAGTGGGTGGGGAAGCCCATGAGTTGATGGAGGGACAGTTTACTTCTCCATCCCAGGCGTGGGCCTGAGACAGGGACCTGCTCAATTGTGAAATCCCTAGCCCTAATCCTGTCGTAGTGATTAGCTGAGATGCTAGAAGACAGCTAGAAGGTCATAAATTTGAGACTGCCAAGAATCAAGTTTTTCAGTACATAGAAAAAGCAAAAAAAAAAAAAAAAAAAACCAAAAGGAACAGAGAAAGGGCCAAGAGAGCCTTTATGATATCATTTTAGCCCCAGAATCTAGTCATGCCTGAAGCTCACCTTTGACTTTCTAGTTAAATAATCAAAGGGGAAAAAACTTTTTTTTCTTAAGTTGGTTCATTTTGGATTTCTTCCACTTGCAACTAGATTAATGTGCATGGGGGTGACACTTTTTGTGTGTGGTCGGGGATGGTACAAAGGGGAAAGGAAGAGAGATGTCAGAGGGTCTCATCGAGTCTGATAAAAATGGTGAAACAGGTGGCCTCAGGGCATCTGTCAGAAACAGAACCAGAGCTTTCTTGGGTAGAGGAACTGCAGCATGTGTGTGTAGATCAGTTTATGTGGATGGGTTATATAAACCTTGCATGTTCCTAACAGTTCACTATCTGGACCTAAGTCATCTTTCAAGAAAGAAATGACACAGAATAGAGAAATGACACAAAAACACCATGAATGCCATCTGTTTAAAACTAGTTTACTGGGTTGAAGAAGTAGCTCAGTGGTAGAGCGCTTGCCGGGCATGCATGAGGCCCCTGGGTTCAATCCCCAGTACTGCAAAATAAGTAAATAAATAAATAAATAAACAAATGAATAAAAAATTGGTTTACTATTCCCACATTAATCCACATCAGTCACAGAACTTTCTCAAAAACTTAAATTTGAAAGAAACTTAATATTTTGAACTCTTTATTCTGGATGCCAAACAATCATCTGGTGCTCTCCAGAAAACTTAACTCAAGCAGCTGTACCCATTAAAGTCCAAGTTGAACAGATGTTAGAGCAAAACAAATTGGTATATCTCAAGAGATCACTACAAAAGCCCAAAAGCTCAGATTCCATTGTTCGCATACTTAAAAGCTCTAATCAGTTAGTCACAGATAATAACACCAATCTTGGTCTGAAAGAGTTTCAGATCTTTAAATCCATGAATCAGATGCTTATGTTACAATGTGTTGTAGTATAAAAATAGCTAGCTTAAGGAGACTTGGTGGCATTAAGCATAGGGCCTCCTTCTGGCAAGAATGACAATGCCTCAAGATTTGTTCTTCCCATAAGCATTTACCAAATACCTACTGTGTGCCCACGATCTCAGCACTGTGTGCCCATGCCCATGAGCCTTCCCTTTTCTCTTGGTGAAAAGGCCAAATCTTGGTTCACATCTGGACAATGCTGGGTAAAATGTAAAATAAAAAAGTAAGGTATCATTGGAACAATATGAGATGCTGTTTTTGCAGCCAATGCTGGCTTTCCCTTCCCCCACACACCACCTTCACATTGCTGGAACACTAGGAAGAATAAGACCCAAACCACAGAGCCTGACGGCTCAAGTTCCAGTTCTGCCATTAACTAGTAGTGTCAGGACCTAGGCCAAGACTCACCTTCTGCATCTGTAAAATGGGGATGATATTTACTTCTTGCATTAAGTGCTGGAGAGATTACATAAATTAGTATATGTAAGTTTTTCACATGGTGACAGGTATGAAATAGACATTAAAGAGAAGCTATAATTAATAAAGTGAGATCTTAACCTCTTTCCAGATCTAGCATTTTATATGATCTACAGTAGAGAGATTATGGGTTTTGATACTCTTCCCCCTCCCCCCTCATCAAACACACACACACACTCACACCAGTCTGCTTTATCATATCTGGCAGAATAGCAAACATCCAAAATAGCAAAAAGATCCCCTGTCTGTCAAGCAGCTGTACCAATAAAAAAAATCTTCAGTATTGACAAGTTCAAGTGCCTGGGTTCTAGGCCCTTACTAATAATAGCTAAACACTTCAAATTCTGACAACCCTGCAAGGTAGGTATAATTATCTGCATTTGGTAGATAAGCCCAAGTAGGAGTAGAGGTTAAATAACTCAGTGTCACACTGCTGCTCAGTTTATGCCCCTTTCCACTCCATTTCTCTGCCTCCCCTACAGCAAGCACTTTTCTCTTGGTAAATAATGAACAGGATATTTCAGGATCTTTAAGGCCATAGAAATGAGCCCTTTGGTAGAGAAACAAGTTGGTATTATCACTCAGCGCTTGGCGACATTTTGAAGCTCCCGTGTTCTGTGCCCCCAATGACCTGCTCTAGCATCCCTGCCTCCCACTCCAGCGACCGGCCACCAGCCGGTGGTGTAGGCCTCTGTGTGTGTCCTCCCGCTGCAGCTTAGACTCTGCGCCCGAGCTAACTGCGCGCTGGCACTGCCCTCGCCTGCCCACGGCACTCAAAATCCCATGACAGGTATCCCTCTGGGGAGGCAAGTTCCCCAAACGCTGACACCACCTCGGAACACCTCGGGCCGGCTTACCCTCCAGTGGGGCCCAGGAATCAAGCCAAACAGATGAAGGAAAGGGAGGTGACGCAACTAGGCCTCCTGCACCAGAGCCAGACAGAGGCTGTGCGCAGCGGCCGTGACCCCGCAGTGGGCTCTCCGCGGTGGCCTCCCACGCCGTCACTGAGCGAGACGCGCACGGGCAGCGGGTATTATCCCCGGGGTGAGCTGCTGGTCCAGTGCGTTTGCGGGAGAAGGCGCTGGAAGGCGCGTCCCAGGAGCGGTCCCAGGCGCCGCGCTCTCCAGTCCTTCTCGGACCCGGGGCCCGGGTTCCCAGCTGCTCGGCTCCGGCTGGCGCGGCCGGCAGAGCCTCCGTGCGCAGCCTCGGCCGCCCACACCCGCGTGCACACGGCTGCACACACACGCACCCGAGGCACGGGCCCCGCGCCCGCTCCCGGAAGGCTGCGGGGCCCCGCCACTGTCCCCAGCAGCCGCGGCGTCCCCTGGCTGCCCCTGCGGCCACCTTCAGCGCCCCCCACGACATCCCCCGCGTTTCCCCTTCCCACAGCCCCCGAGGCTGCAGAGGCCACGCAA